TGATGTGCATTAGCTGAATAAGCTTGCGGCTTTCGGGACTAAACTTTTATACATACCAGCTTCCACATTACAGACAGAATCCAGTAAAATTTGAAGTTACAAAAAACTACATCGTTATAAAAAGTAGATACGCATGGAATACGTTTCATTGTCGTCACATCATTGCACATACCTGGTAACCTCCGGGAATATAAGAACCATGGCTTAATGCTTCCACGAGAAGAGAAGGATCCTGAAATTTATAGTCAAGCAATGACTCTAAATGTCCAACATCAACGGGTATCTCTGACTGCACTTGTAAGTGCCTCTCATATCGTATGTGGTCTAAATCCACCTCTATACCAACCCAGTTCATGAAATATATGGCATCTAGTTCACCACCTGTGCTAAGAAATGCACCGATTAGTGCCTCAACTACGTCCGCAACAATTTTAGCATCGATCTTCCTTGTTCCCCCAACATAGATGCTTCTTTTATCAAAAAGCAACTCCTCATTTAAGAAATAACTTCTACAATAATCTCCAGGTATAATCCACTTTTTTGGATCAAAAGTCTCGTTACGAATAAAACCCTACAACACGTAAACAATGGCAGATTAGTCAAGCAGGAAAGTTTATAGAAAAAAGTTCTACAAGCATAGCGGTAACAATTTGAATGCAGCTTTCAGAAAAATTCACGAGGATAACAAGATTATAACCCGAAATGAAATGATTGAATAAATAATTGTTACCGAAATTTTACGGTCACATCCAAGCTTGCCCAGGGAAAGATTAGAAATTATGTGTTCCTTATATTCGCTAAGGAGGCCCTCACGATCATTTTGACAGGTTTTGAAAAACTGCTGACTTGCAGCATACTTAAGAAAGGAATCTCCAAGAGTCTCCAAGGATTCCAAATCTAAGTTCTCTTGGCAACCTTCTGTAGTAATAGATTCCAAGACCTACAAAGAGAAATTTAACAGCAAAAATTCAGAAATCTAGTACCTTATCAATACATAAATGGTTCATTAAATATAGGACAATACCCTTCCGAATGAAAAAATGTAGTATACCTTAATGGTTGGGATGGTAACATTTTGCGGCAAATGATCCAAAATCATCTGTTTCAAGTTGACAGCGAGTAGTAATGACTCAAGCCGATGCATGATGGACGGAACAAGTGAGAATGAATATAAATTGCTGATTGATATAGGTGACATGATTATAGTGCAAAGTTCTGGCGGCAGTTGAACGGATGCATGACTTGATCCTGCAAATAAGTGACACACATTAAGCTTCTTATTTGATAACGATTAATTATGAGATAAGATTGGATTAACTTTTGATTCTGCAAGACTTTGTGCCAAAAAAAATTAAAATGCGTTCTCAACGGTATCAATTCGATTTCAACTAACAACGGAATAGCAAGTTAGCAACCATGTGCATTTTCCTCTAATCAATATATGTATGTATATGTTTTAGAGGTGGATTATGAACTATTGATCAAAATTTTCATCCAATAGGAAATATTAAAGCAGAGCAGAAAACAAACAGAAGAATTAAATGATACCAGGCTTCCTATCTAAAAGAGGTTAGGAATTCAGACCTCTTTTTCTCTGTTGTCTGGACCACAGAAGATAATTTTGTAGCCGAAAGATGCCTCGCCCATTAAGCAATAACTGTTGATCAAAACGCATGTTGATCCCATGCCTGCAGTAAGGAAACCATCCGAGTTACTCAAAAATAGCTTGCATATATCATTTTTATCCAACATAAACTGAAACTACACCGAATACTTCATGATTTCTTTTTCTTTGGAAACGCTTGATCCTTAATGCAACAAGACATGCAAATACAAAAGAGAGGTAACAATAGAAGAACGTACTTTGCTTCATAGTAGGCTTTGTAGGTAATAGATTTGTTGTCCCTCATTAGTGAGTTTCCAGTCAAGTCATCCAACAGGCCAGTGATGCAATACAGGCCATCGGTATGAGGCGTATAGACCACGGAATTCTGGATCCTGCACGTACAAACCATACCATTTTTGGTATGTAGTGGAACATGGGAATTGTTGTTTGGTTGAGGACAATCTACACAAACACGATTCCCAAAATCTTTGTTACAATGGGACGACATAGACATAACAGTGTCTAAATCAATGATGGAAGCTCTCTGGTGTATCCTTGCTGCTGGTAGCAAAAGGTAATCAATCGATTCAGTCCCATATAGTTTTGTCCCAAATGAAATCTTTCTAAAACTTTCTCCAACTTTGTCAATTCATGATCCACCAGAATCCGAAAAATTGTGATTTGGAACCTTCTGCAAACAAGAACCTGGCAAATAAAATTACACAACCAAGATTAACCATTTTTTTTTTTTCTGAACAAGATTAACCATTGATATATATATATATTTTTATCATGTCATTTATCACTAAAAGTAACAACACACTGGAAACCGTACCTGCTCTGAACATAGATTAACATCTCCAGCATATTTAAAGTTTACTGCTAAAGGACCCCTTTGAACTTGTAATTCAAAATTCATATTTGCAATGGTATCACAATCAAGTTTATTCCTTGTGGCAAGTACGATATCACTAACTGGAATATCGCAATCAATATTCTGCTTCAGCTTAATTAAGTAGCAATGATACATTACACTAGCATCATTTGAACACGGTGGTTTGACCAGCTCGGTTGGAACATAACGAGGTTGTTCATCATCACAAGGTTCACGCCCTGCAAGTATAACACTTACAAATTACAAATAGAAAAAAACAAGTTGTATGAATCATATATATAAATTTGTTAAACAAAAATGGTTAGAGAAGTTACCAACTTACGGTACTTACCAGATAATAAGTTATGTTTAAAACTAGGGATACTTTGGATGCGATCTCTAATCTTTAACATTCTTTGATTAAAACCTTAATAGTATTCAAAATTTGATCAAGGTCCATTGACTTTGTACACCTCATTATATTACTATTAATATTTATATTTTTATAGTTTTGACATTAATTGTTTGATATTTTATGATATTTATAATCCCTCATTATAATATTATTAGAAACGGTTACAATAAAAAAATTCAAACATTTTGATTGAATAAAAACTATGTAAAAATAAGAAATAATAAATGGCAAAAGAATGTATCCATAGTGTTAAAAAAAATTGGTACATTTTACAAAAAAATTGGTACATTTAACATATAACAAAGTGATACATTAATAAAGAAGAATGGGTACATTATAAATAAATTGGGGTACAGATAAAATATTAAAAACTATGAGTACAAATGAATTTTTAAAAAATATAGGCGCTAAAAGAAATTAATACATGGGTACAAAATAAAACTAAAAAGAAAATACTACAAATTTAAAAAAAAATGTTGCAAATTAAAAGTGGGTACAAACTAAAAATATAAATATATGATACAAAGTTTAGGCATAAAACATAAGTATACCATATGTAATTTTTCTATCATTTATTATATATACAATGTCACGTGACGGTATACACATGGGTACAAACACAAATAAAACTTTAAAAAATATGGGCACAAAAAGAAACTAATATATGGGTACAAATTAAAAATGAAAAGAAAATTGGTACAAATTAAAAAATATTTGCAAATTAAAAAAAGGGTACAAACTAAAAATAAAAAAATATGATAAAAAAATTTAGCTATAAATATAAATATACTAATTGTAACATTTTTAACACTAAAGGAATATATTTAAAAATAAAAAATATTTTATTATTCAAATAATTAATGATGTTATTAATATCCAATGACCTTGATCAAAAATTGAAAATGAATAGAATTTTAATCAATGCAGTAACAAAAAGAAGGATGTGAACCTAATTTTCCTTTAAAAATAATTATAAGAGGCAATCAAGGTATTGAAAAAGGTAAGAGATGTTACCAAGTTCTTGTGTGGCTTCTCCCACAGCGAGAGGATCAGCAGAGTTATTTCCGTCTTTCTCCATGTTAGCTTCTCACTACAACATTCACCAAGTTTCCAGCAAAAATAACTAAATCAGCAAACCTATTTCGCTAAATTGCAGAGTCAAACAGAGTACTGGAGTAACTAGAGTCCAAAACGCAAAGGCTCGTTTGATAACTATTTCAGTATTTCAGTTTTTAGCGTTTAGTTTTCAACAAAAAAAAACAGAAAACTTGTTTGCAATTCAGTTAAAAGAACATTAAAACAGGAACTACAAACCGAAAGCGAAATGGTTATCAAATAGCCCAAATAATAAACCAAATTTATTGATTCCCAAATTGCAAAGTAATAAACAGAAAGTGGGGAACTCACAGAAACCGATCCGCGCAGCGCGTAAGAGTGAAAGTAGGAAGCACAGAGAACTGGAGAAGTGTAGGTAAATGTAAGAGTAACAAAGAAGTGTGTCTGTAAATGTAAGAGAGTAACAGACAAGTTTATCTTTAAAAACAACTGATGGAGCTTGAAGCTGCAAAAGCCTAACTGGATTACTTTGGAATTTCAAAAGACACTGGATCGGATTCTTCGGATGATGATGAGTAATATGTAGTCATATTTAAAAACTTGGTGAGGAAGCAACTTCCTCTGTAAGTTCGTATCGACTCAAGTCTATGATGAGAAAAAGAGAGAACCGCCCACTAAAGTTCTTTTGGGTGGGACAGAATAAGACACTGCTTTATGGGTCCGTTCATATGTATGTTTTTATTTTAATTTAATTTATTTATTTATTTTGAGCAAACAATATCATCTACACTAAGAGGTGAAGGAGTGGGCTAAGCCTAAGAATGAGCTAGCAATAATGTGGTTCAAATTCGTCTTTGGCGAGAATCAAACCTAAGTTTCAAATTCGCCTTTGACGAGAATAGAACCTAAAATCTTTCACTTACAAGTTATCATTAATAGCCAAAATTTAATACTCAATTTCATAAATGTCACTTTTTATAAAAACTTTCAAATATAACATAAAACTCACATTAATAGACCTAAAAACCCTCAAAATCCAAAACCCAATTACACAAAAAAAGCTAAAACACTTGAATAGATCTCCTGTCCATTGTTGTTCAAAGTGCAAGGCTTGGAGGGGAGTTGGTAATATCAAACTTGTGCAAGTTAGTTTCTGATTTATTTGTAACTCATTGAATATGGGGGTCAATGGAATTTTTGTGGGAGTTGTATGGAAGCAATGATGTATACATTTTGTGTACATTTATATCATCCTTATTTGGTAGTTTTGTGATGTTTTTGGATCAAGCTAGTTGTGTTTTTACATTATTTGGTGCTAGTGTGCAGCCAAGTGTATATTTGGATCAATGGGAAGACAAATGAAGTAAAAACAACCCTTTTTGGTAGCTGAACATTATTCCAAACGTGGAGAGGATTCTAGGGAGTTAATTTGAAGTCCAAATGAAGAATTTAGGAGCTACTTTGGCTGCATGGAATTTCAGGAACACATGTGGAAGTGTAAGGTGGTGCATTCGGCCATATTGGGTGATTCTAGGCAAGGCAAAATCATTGAATTCAGATTATGTGGTTCTAACACCAAAACATGCAATCACATGCATGTTCACAACCTGGCCGTGGGCTTCCATTCACTTTAAACACCCAAAGCATGCATTCACATGCATGTATCAATCTTGCCGTGCATTCCATTCCCTTTTGCACCAAGAACATGCACTTCCATTACTTAATTCATTCCATTTACATTTCCAGCCCCCTTTTGCAGCAACACATGTGTCTTCATTAAACTAAACCATCCAACCACATGTTTGTCTCAAAGCAAAGCCATGCCGTGCCTTTCATCCCCCTTTCCAGCATGTGGGAACAATTCCAGCTTGTCCACTGCATTCTTGCAGCCATTCCACATGCATCTTCAATTAAATAAGCACAAGCATGCTTGTGTTCCTTTGTGCCGTGCCTTGCTAGTCCAGAAATCACCTCATTCCATCATCATTTCAGATTGGCAGCTCCATTATTCTTTGGCTAGACAGCCGCATGTTCTCCCAAGAGACTTCAATTTAAAAGTCCATGCAATCTCACTTCTGAAAAAGGCTCGACCATACCACCATTCACACACCTAGCAACTCCATTTTTTTCTGTCCATTCTCTCTCCCATCAGCAACAACCATTCATCCACAGCAGCTCATCCTTCATGTTACAACACATCTGGAGAACCAAGACTGAAGGCCACTCTTGAAGGATTTCAACATCAGTTTTGCTTCAAGGGTTTCTTCTTCTCAATTCTATGTTCATTCATGTTATGTATTTCTATGTTAAAACGTTTGTAAACATGAAATGTAACTAATCTCTTCTTAGGGATTCGATGTAGCCTAGCAAGAAACCCATGTAGTTAATTCATAATGCTCATTTGATCCTTTTATTTCTTGTTTCATTCTCTGATTTCATTGTGACTTTGTGTGTTAATTCTAATGCTTGATCACCACTTGAATTAATCACAGGTTGTATAACCAAAATTAGAAGCACACATCATGCATAATTTTGGTAGATATGGGAATGATTGAGGGAGATGTTTGGCAAACATCCTGCCGTGTGTCCCCTTTGGTTTTGTGAAAGTTTCTTATGTATAAAACATCCTTGGTTGAGAACCAAAGTTGCACATCACAATTTGGTTCTTGACTAGGATGATTTGATCAAACCCACACATCATATGGTTGATCATATCTAAGTGAAACAAACTCAAGAAATAGGTAAATGAATGAGCATAAACTGATTTAACAAACATGGGATTGATTTAGCTATGGTGAAACCGAATCCCTAGTTTCATCTCCATTGGTGTTATTCCATTTTATTACTTGTTGATTCATTCACTTGTGTTCACTACATTTTTGTGAGTTTTCAAATTACACAACAACAAATCTGTCTAAGTTGCTTAGTTTAAGTCATTTAATATGGTTCATGCAAAGCAAGTGATTGTATAGGTCCAATTAGTCCCTGTGGATTCGACACCCTTACTTGTGCTATTATACTCAATATGTTTTAGCATTAGGAAGGAGTAAAACATATCAACAACAAAAATGGCGCCGTTGCCGGGGACTGATTTCAGTCCCTTGTAATTGCTTGTTTAGTTATGAACCATTGTTATTTTCATTTTAAGTAGAGTACTAATTTATATTCAAACTTGTTTTATTTTGTTTTCAGGTAGTTTATGTCAAATAGACTTGTTGAGTTAGGCCAAAGAATTGAACGGTTAAAGAGCAACACTTTTGACAACTTTGTGCCAACAAATTCATCCAATTTCCGTGAAGAAGAGGAAGGGAATTCGCCTAGTTCAACAAGTGAAGGATCTAAGCACATTAATTGGGAAAGAGAAGAAGAGATGGCGGACAACCAAGATGAGCTTCGAGCTTTGGAAGACTTTGCTCAACCAATCATACCAAATTCTCCTTCATGCATCTTGCTGCCCACCGAAGCTAGAAACTATGATCTTAAATCTTCACATTTCCATATGCTTCCCTCTTTTTATGGCTTACCTAATGAAGATCCTTTAGCTCATGTTAAGGAATTTTATAACGTTGTAAGTGGTTTACCTTTGCAGGGAGTAAGTGAAGCAAATTTGAGGATGAGAGTGTTTCCTTACACATTGAAAGATAGGGCTAAGAGTTGGTTGATGACTCTAGCACCTGGTTCCCTCATCACTTGGGATGCCGTGGCTAAGAAGTTCTTGGAGAAGTTTTTTTTCCACCCAAAAGACAGCCACATTAAGGGGACAAATCTTCAACTTCAAACAAGATGATGGAGAACCTTTCAATGAGTGTTGGGAGCGTTTTAAAGGCCTTTTGTTGCAATGTCCACACCATGGGTTACCTTTTCATTTACAAATGCAAATTTTCTATGATGGACTAACCCAAACATGTCAATCCACTGTTGATAATGCAGCAGGTGGAGCTTTGAAGAAAAAGAATGCTCAAGAGTCATATAACATTTATGAGATGTTGGGGTCTAATGCTCAACACAAAGATTTAAGGGGTAAGAAAGTTGGAGTATATGAAACAAACTCTAATCATGAACTTTCCTTGCAGGTAGCTAACCTAGAAAAGAAGCTTAAAGCCGTGCTCAACATGGTGCCAAAAGCAAATGAGGTGTGTGCCATTTGCAACATACCAAATCACCCTACTCATCAATGTCCATCTAGGGAGGCTTATCCCGAGTTTGTTCAAGAGCAAGTGAACCTCATGAATTCTTACAATCAAAGGCCAAGGAATGATGTGTATTCAAACACATATAACCCAAGTTGGAGAGATCATCCCAATCTTTCATGGAGGAACAACAATCAAAATCAAAATCAATTCCAAAACTTCCAACCAAAACCGGCCACCTACACTTGAGGATACGGTTAAGTTGTTAGCTCAAAACACCTTGCAATTCCAACAAGCCACAAATAGCACTTTCCAACAACATTTCGGCGGCTTTAAACAAAATGGAGACACAATTGGGACAAATTGCTGATGCCTTGAACCAAAGAGAGGTTGGAAAGTTTCCAAGCCAACCCGTGATACTCCAAAGGAACCAAGAGCAAGCCAAAGCAATCACTACACTCAGAGAAATGGTAAGGTGATAGATAATAGAGTTGGCAATGAAGTTACTAATGAATTTGATCATGTGAATGCAGCAGGGTTACTCAAGGAGAAAATGAGAAACCAAATGAGGAACCAAGCCATGCCAATTCCTCATTTGAAGCACCAAATCTTCACAAGGCCGAGAAGCCTTACACTCCACCAATACCATTTCCTGGAAAGACTTGCCAAGAGCAAGCAGGATAAGTCATTTAAGGACATTTTTGATATTCTAAGTAAAGTGAATGTTAACTTACCCTTGCTTGATGTCATTAGGAACATGCCAGCTTATGGGAAATTCTTCAAAGAGTTAAACAACTACAAAAGGAAGTATGGACCACATGAGAAGGTAGTGGTGTCTGAGAATGTAAGTGCAGTGTTGCAAAGAAAACTTCCACCAAAGCTCAAAGATTCAGGGAGTTTCTCTATCAACATTACCATAGGAGAAAAGAAAGTAGAAAAGGCAATGCTTGATTTGGGTGCTAGCATCAATTTAATGCCCTATTCCGTGTACCTTCAACTAGGTTTGGGGGAATTGAAAGCCACCACCATTTCATTACAACTTGCGGACAGATCCGTGAAATATCCAAGAGGTTATAGTAGAGGATATTCTAGTTCAAATTGATAAACTAATCTTGCCTGCGGATTTTGTAGTGTTGGACATGGAAGAAGCGCCTATACATGACCGAGAGTTGCCTATTTTGCTTGGAAGACCATTCATGGCCACGGCCAAGACCATCATTGATGTGCAAAATGGACTCCTCACTATGACAGTGCTAGGAGAGACCGTGCAATTTAAAGTGTTTGAGTCTCTTTCTCATCCTTCTTCATCTCTTGAGTGCTATGCCATTGATGTGCTTGATTCAATTTGTTTTCTCTAAGTTCTTGCAGGCACAATCTAGTGAACCATTACAAACTGTTTTGACTCAATCTCAAGATGAGTTTGATGAAGAAGATGCATTCATGGAAGTGGTAGCTACCTTGGAAGCATTGGCACCGTATCCTTTAAATATTTCA